AGTAGGGAAAAAGAAAACGAATATTCAATTCTTACTTGCATAATGTTGAATAAGTTTACGTGTTCGAATATCCCAAATTTTAACACTTGCATCAGTGCAACCACCACCAATACAAGTACCACTTGGATGAAAAGCTACATCATTAAGAAATCCATGTGGTTCATAAAATGTATGCATACATTCATTTGTATTTCTATCCCATATTTTAACTGTTTTATCATCACTACAGCTAACAATTAATCTTCCATCAGGTGAAAATTTTGCACAACGAACCCAATTTGAATGTTGATTAAGTGAAAATTGAAATTTTTGTCGATGTACAGTCCAAATTTTAATTGTTTTATCTTCTGATGAACTTAATAAACTTTGACCATCACTTGAAAAATCAACACATCGAACAGCAGCTGTATGTGCTTTAAATACAGTTGATTCACCTTTTACACTTGGAATCCATAGACGAACTTTTTTATCTTTTGAACCAGACCCAATTAAATGACCCGATGGAGAAAAACATACTGAATAAACAGCATCCTATATGAAAAGATATGTTGATTTATTTAAAAAAAAAACAATAGAATGATATCTTTATTTATACATTATGACCGACGAAACGATAAGCCCGAATTTGAGGTTTAAATGGCCAAAGAAATAGACATGAATCCAAACTACCCGATACTAAATATGATAAATTATAAAGATTATAATATATTTTAAATGAGAATTATATGTTTACCAAGTTGTTTTGTATTAGGTGAAAAACTAAGCGATGTAACGGTACTACGATGACTTTTGAAATGTTTTTCTAATTTTGGATCTTCCTAATAAGAATCAAGAAAAATAAAGAGATAATTATCAACTGTGATGTTTTACCATTAGTTTTGTTTGATTAAAAAAGTAAATCAGTAAACATAATAAATATTAATTCTTTGTTCTCTGTTCTTGTTCACAGTCGATATCCGGCATGAATTCCATAATTGTTCCTAGACAACCGATGAGGTTTAATAACAAAATAATGAATTCAAATGAATTTCTTCTTAGATTTTTCGATGAATTTTAAAATTTATTTACAAATTCTTTTTCATAAGTTGAAATAAAATATTATGAAGAAAACAAAATTCTAATAGATGACGCAAGTTTGCATGATGCAATGATCAGAAAGCAAAAAGTTAATATTTTCTATGAATTGTATGTCTAGTTTTGCATAGCTTCTATTCGAGTATAAGTATCTTGAGTATAATATAAAAAAAATATTTATAAGTAAATTTGAAAAATCGGCCTTTGCTACAACATGAAAATAAATAAATTACTGTAAACAATATAGTGTATCAGTACCTAATGCAACTATCCAAAAAGAAAGAGTTTTTTTTTTCTTTGTTAATGTTAAAATCGTTCGTTTGAGTTCATCAGTTGCTAAATATACACATTCGAAACCATGTAAAATTTTGAATGGTTCTTCATCTTCTATAGAAAAATAAAGATGAAAATGAGACATCTTTGAAGTATTGATTTTAACAGTGTTGACAATAGCGAATGTTATTT